ACAGTCGTACTGACATCCTAATCGCATTCCAATATCAGTAATGATGGAATGTTTCCGTGGCGCATAGTCTAGTTGTTGAGCCGGATATAACGATATAACAGTAAGATGCTCAAATATTTTTTTTTGTGTTGACGAAAACTGAACGTTGTCACATCGCTGCTGAATATAAAGCCGACATGACAATATAAGATTTTAAAAATTATAAATCCGAAATGTATACCTTGAAGGCCTCAAGTACGAATAGATCTTAAAGAAAAACAACATAATTACCGCTTATTTGTAGTGTATATTGCAAATTTGTATAATTTGACATATATGACTAACTACAGAAACGAGTACCGTTAGAACTTGTTGGGTATACAGATTTGCTCCTAATTAGGTTTTTACGACGCTTTTGTATACGAAAAATGGTAAATATGGCGGTACATGATAAATCACCAGCTGCCTTGGACTACAGATATAATGACTATTACCATGAAGGGTAATTGCACGAGTCTTAAATAAGTTCCTTACGGGTCATGTTTGTTACACATGGGGAAATGTTCACATACATGATTAATGTATACGGTTTACCGAAGTTAATTGAAAAATCAAGGTCAGTATCTTCACTGCATTCAATGATAATGTCGCGTTAAATTGTTTAGTATGCAGAAAACAGTGTGTGTTGTTGTTAAACGTCTACTAATAAAGATGTTTGTGAATTTGTTTGTTTTGCGGGGTGAAGGTATCATACATAATGTATGTAATGTTAATAAACTTTATTTTGACGTATCGCAATCTCTCAACAGTTAGTATTGTGGGGATCGCCTTGTCGCATACGACTTATTTACCACTTCCGTGTCACTGAGAATGTTCTAGAGCCGTACTGTGTCTGGGTGGAATATTCTAGATTTTTTTTTTAAGAAACTGGTTGAATAGGTAATAGAACACTGTAGGAGGCAATATAAGGTAATGGAACATTCTAGAAATTTGTAGTAAGACTCATTATGTATGCTGATGTAATGGTCTATTTATAGACAGTGGGGGTATATATAGGGGAGTTGTTCAGCACTGAGTTCAGACCGGAGATCTCGTTGAATTGTATTGGAGTTTAAGTATCCAGTATCTAGTAGTGGAGTTTTACCGCGTTATTGTACTTGATGTTTGCCGAGTATAATAATACCAGTACCAGTTGAAACCTCATCTGTGTTCGTATGTTATCATCGCCGCCAGGGAAGTCTTTATGTTACTGTTGCCATTTTGGTATTTGAACCATCACACCTGTACTATACCAATTACGGTAATATTACGTTGCGTGTGACACGCCTCTTGTCCAAACGAGTCACTTCATTTGAGCACATTTGAGACAATAAGTGCGATAATGACTGTATACCTACTGTATCTTGCCCGTAGTTCACCTTTACATAGTTGAATAGAATTTTGATTAGAAAGGCTTTCAGTAAATAAAGACCAAACATGTATAAAAAAATAAATAAATATGTGTAATCAGATTTGTTCTCCATTTTTTCACATATATGCATTTTTACATCCCCTGACTAAATGCATAGGTCGTTAGTACAGTTGTTCGGAAATTAAATGAAAAATAGTCATGCGCTATCCAAACTAACTTTCAGGCGAGCTTATATTATTTATATCTGCGTTTTAAATTCTATTAAATCAAACAACCTTAAATTCACGTGTCCCTGAAAGAATCTTTTGAACTCTAATGTAATGGAAAAGAATGTTATTAAACAGAATTGGCCTTGCCGTTGGCACATTTCTCGATGTTGAATATTTGGTAAATGTACAAATGTGACCATGAAAAAAGCACTGCACTGCCTTTAGTTATGGATGACAATCGTTTGTCGTAAATTGCAATCACTCAATTTGTATATATTGACAACGATTAAAAAAAATATTCGGTAAGGTCACGCATTGATTGGATAAGCTAACCCTTAATGATGCGACAATAATTCAAAGGTCATGGTGAACTCACAATCAGTAAAATGCATTAAATAGTGTTTTTGAATATAAAAAATAAAACAGGTTTCTTTTTGAAGGCATAGTGAAATGAATGTCTATATAAGGTTATATGAATGATATTGAATAGAGGTAAGTATTGGTTGAATTTAAATTTGGGATATTAAAAATCAAATGTAATGCTATGATTTCTGTTTTGTTGTATATCTATGTTCGAATATGTTATTAGTAGAATAGATTACTCTGATGACACTTACAATGTAGGAATGTTATTTATAGGCACGAATATCATACGCTAGAGTCCCCCGGCTATAAATCACACACTTCGTAATGCAGTTCTTGCCATACATCAAGCCATCAGGTCAGGTCATTCCTCAGTACCGACCTTGTTTAAGTATGGTTATAATACTGACGTTGGATAGTGATATATTGTAGTTTGCTTTGGTCGGCTAAATAGATCAAAACGATCGAAGCGAGGATGAAACAAACATACCGCCTCCGTTGGCCCCTCAAGAGATGTGATGACATGTTCGAAGGAAGAAAATAACGATAATAATCTTTTTCTAAGATTATCGATTGTGCGCATCGATTGTAATAAAATGCTTCATATACTGAAACAGATTAGAAACAAGCTACCCAGAACCTTTATAGTTCATTCAAAATATGTTTAATGTAAAAAAAAAATAACACCATGGAAAAAACATCCGTAATACTACTTGAATGTATTAAATAACGAAAAACAAATGATTATTACACGTACGTGACTCGAGAATATAATGTGACCAATTCATGTTCAGTAAAATAATTAAGCTAAAGCGTTGACTCTTTAGTTTTGTTCTTCTAGCATTTACAGGAGACGATAGTTTTAATTGCCAATTTGCACGTCAAGCTTGAAAAGAACCATTAAGTGCATATACAATGCGTACCACAGTTTGCAGATGTTTTGTGCACGCTCCTATTAGCCATGTACACACGAATCACACAAATACAATGGCATTTCCGAGCATAACATAATATGCTTTTATTACTTAATTATGTATTATACAAGTACATTGCTTGTATTCTCAGATAAATTATGACGCAGTCACATAAATCATTTTACCCGAGAAAAGGATGTCACAATGTGCCCTGAATTGTCGTTTCACGGTTGAACTCAGTATAACCCTTTGCCATTTCAAAGAGGTTAAAAGAATTGCATTGAAATTTCATTTTAAATGTACACATGTCTATTTCAATCAAACGAGTGATGCTGACGAATACGACATTCTTGACTACTAAATAATAGACTACTAAAATATCAAATACAGCAAATGATCATAAAAATGCAGATTGTCGAATAGTTTCTCATAGTTAAATTCATATTTTTGTGGTTGTGCAAGGAAAACATAAATTACGCAAACAAAATCGTGTACCAAAAACGCTTATGCAAATTTTGATATATATTACGTATCATTGCCAAGGTTAATTTAAATATGTTAGCGGGCAGCCAATGATTTCATTCAATGGTGAGATATCATCCTGATACTAGCTTTTAAGGTTTAAGACGCATGAACAGCGCTTTCAGTACACATTGCTGTGAACACAAAAAATAATCGCGCTGCCTAACGCTGAACATTGTATTGAACAGGTGTCGTCCGTACTAATTTCTCATACAACTTTGAATCTGTCATGACACAACTAATAATATGTTGTTTTCAAAACAATGACAAAATACGACTAGATAAAATAGTTTTTAATTAGTTTAATTAGACTAATTGTTATATTTGTCACTTATTGAGCGTACTAATTTAAAATAGACTCGGTATTGATAAGCATTGCATTTCTCGCTCGTTTAATAATCGAAAGTATGGACGTATTACAGTCTCTCTATATAACCGTATACGGATGCATGAACTTGTGATCAAGGTCGTGCCGTGTCCTGTCTTTAGTCCGTACTTTATGGCACTCACTCAATGCAAACCAATGATAACATAATGTGTTGCAAGCAGGTTACTACAGGACAACTCTTTAATATTACATTACAAGCAGCCACTTGCATGTATCGTGACGTCATCAGAGCATGTTATAGGGCGAATATAGCACACGACTAAGCACATAAATAGATATTAGTCGCGGCAAGCTGATCTTGACATTAGCGTACAGGCGAAGATCACCGACACGCCGCATCGCGCTACATATTTGAGTCACTCGAGTTTGGCAGCAGCAACTACAGTCAAGTGATTAAATGTACTACCCAATGTTATATTTGTGATTAGAATGTTTGAAAATGTAATCAAAGAAGAAATAAAACACCTTTCAGGCATCTTGACTTATACGTGGATAGTTTAAGAGCAGCATGAATTACTGTGCGGGTGATCAGACATTTAAAAGGGGATAAACACTGATTCAAGAGATGAACTGATACATTGCAAGGAAAAAAAAACTCCTATAAATGTCCAATACGGATAATACAAATAATATTATGCGATATTGATAATAAAAAGTAATAACTTCATTTTGCTGAAGAACACGTTATTTTGCTGTCGTAGCTTCACATCCACTATAAGCGCCCTCAATAGTTTACCTTGACAGTTTGTCGTAGTAGTAAAGGACATTCACCATTTGAAAACCATCACGCATGTTATCGCTTTTTCCAAATGGCAATTTGATATATTTGGCTAATTTTGTAACTAGGGACGCCATATCCTGACGACGTTACATTGGAAACTCATTACCGACACTCCGCTGGGGGTAATGGGCACGTGATCAAATTACATATAACAGTTCCGTCTTTGTTATCACGCTCAGAGTGCAGCTACAACTGCGCACAGTGGGTATCGTGCTGACTTATATGAGTATGCGTTTTCTGTAACTATTGCTGCCTGGAACCAAACAGTTTGCATTAAGCCATCGACTAATACACAACGATATGATATACATAGTTCAACAGATGTGCAGACTTTCGTTTCGTTTTGCAACGACCATCTAGTTTCAATTTGCAGTAAAGTAGTGAGTATTTTCACACATCAACCTCGTTTGTATTGGCAACGTCGCTTAAAATAATGGGTTCGGTGTTTCTAGACGACAATATTGGGCTGAAGACAATCAATGGAAATTCAATCAATGACCACTACTATGGGTATGATAGTTACAATTCTTCAATGATATGGCAACTCGGTCAACAGTCGCAAGGCATCATCGGGCTAACTATTACGAGCTTCGGCATACCGATCAACGTCGCTTTCATGATCGTTGTTGGACGCGTCAAGTCAATGCGAACGGTTACCAACGCTTATCTTGTGAACTTGGCCGTCGCTGATCTCCTCCACCTGATAACCCACTGGTCTGCCTGGCTGTGTTCCCTTTTAGACGACAGTGCGTGCCCTCTAAAATTGGACAAAACCGGGATGTGTATGATGATGATTATATCGAAAGTTATGCAATACGTCTCTATGTTAACCGTTACAGTATTGAGCTTAGATCGTTATTTAGCAGTATGCAGACCCGTTACTTACAAGCAAGGTTTCCTACATAAACCACGCGTGGTACTGCATATAATCACGATCATTTGGATTTTGAGTATGCTGTTGACTCTTGAAATAGCCTTACCATGTCTCGGCTATGAGAGGGTATTCTTCTTATACATACTGGCTGGGCCTATGATCTTTCTGGTTGTACTATTTGCGTCTATGATCACAGTCTTTGTGATGTATTCCTTAATCGTTCGAGCGGTGCGGAATGCAGCCAAGCGTACGGACAATTCGTCACACGCCTTGAAGAGTCGAGAGAAGCAAATCGTGAGGCTGTGCATGGCGATGACTGCAGTGTATTTCCTCTGCGCTGTGCCTTTCTTACTGCAAATACTCGAGGTGGTAGTGAATCCATGGCAACAAAGTGGCATTTGGTTATCGGACGAATCAGTTGTGGTCCTTTCAAACGTTGCTACATACTCTTTGGAATTTAACTCCTGCATCAATCCAATTATCTACAACGCGCTGAGTGCCAAGTACAGGCAAGCATTTGCAACAACATTTTGTTCTTGTCAACATTGAGTGGCACAACTTGCGCACTGATGTGTTAACAGTGCATTTATATATATATATATATTTGGATGAACGTAAAATGTATACCATTTATTTCACTGTTTTTGACTAGATGTGTTTGAAGCTGCAAGTCGCACAACAATCACATGTGAATTGACTTAAACATTAATAATTGTCCAAATGTGTTTCATGACCCGCGAACAGTTTCGATAACATTCAATCGTATGTTAATATTTATTGTTATTATTAATATTGTTGACATTGTCATTTTGGGTAACGTTGTTAAATCACGACGGCACTGAGCTGCGCGGTAGAAATGTGATGCCTGTATCAGTTAACACAGTGTTAAATTTAGCTGGTCAAATCTTGTTATATTGTGAACAACTGGTGATTATACATGAATATTTAAACACGTATTAGTAAGTCTACATTGTGGCGCTCGCAACAATTGATACATCCCAACGGTATGTTATTTGCGAAGTGGTGATTTAAGCTGAGATAAAATGATGTGAATGATTTCACTGATTCGATGGATAATGGATAAGTTGTATTTGCTAAGAATCCGGTTCACTACATTATACATATTACATTCATAGACAAAAAAAAGGCACTTTAACCAATCTTTGATGAAAGGATTATTTATTATTATTACAGTAATTTCACTCTTACGGTAATGGAAAGTGTATTTTATTTTATTGAAACACATTATACAATGTTTGATGAGTGAATGTGTACCAGTCGCTGTTAACACCGGGAATTACGCCTATATATTAAAATGCCGTGGATTTATATAATACCAAATATATAGAGACAGTACACCATTTCAATGACACGCTTGTGTGCGTCATTATTAATTAATCCAAAACTGAACATTGTTGTATTTTACAAAAAAAAAACTAACACTGCAGGGGTACTGTCACATGGTGAGCAGCGTGCCTCCATATGAAGCTGATCCGATTAAGTACAGTTCATATTTCAACTCTTTATCAGCTCAGTATAAAATTATTCACCACAAAAACTAATGAGTTATTCGACCTTGCCACACACACGTGCTGTCTTATTGTACGTTCGACGCATTGACTGCTTGCATGCTGCGTACCGCAGCACTATTTTGTACGCAGGGCATTTCAACAACAGGATAGTTGAATGTATGAATACATTTCGTATTATGTCTTCCTCGGGTAAAACTTACAAAACATACCAGGATGATGGGCAATTGTTGTAATTGGTTGTGTTGTCTCGTTAATAACGCTATGTAACCACAAACGAGGGTTTATGCAGTTTTACTTTGCCTAGAACTTGGCACTTGATTATTACACTCTTATAAAGAATGATATCGTAAGAAATGCAAAAAGAAATGGCACTCTATACTCAAATATAACACGGATTTATGATGAATCTATAACAAGAACACCCATTCATTTTATAGGTTGTCGACTAACCATACGTTGCTTTCCTAAATGTACATATCTTGCCTGGTGACATGATTGGAGAATTTCGCATGACTCAACTTCTCCCGGGGAAAATGCTATCGCCGTCATGAGTAGTCAATATGTGTATTCAATATTGGTTTACAGGCTAAAGAAATAACATCGAATATATACAGCAGAGTAAACACTTTGTTACTCAAAGTAAAAATGTACTGTATACGTGACTCGAACCGACAAACATATGACATAACTCGCTTAGCTCCACATCACGACGCGTTTTCAATTCCACCTGGAGTCCCTATTACAGGATGCTTATTACCCGAGCTTATCACGGACGGAGACGATGCAAGCTTAGCTCGGGCAAAGCCCTTCCGTTATAGCAGATAATGACACTTCATGAAAGTATCGCAAATAACACAAACGCAAATAATTGCAAACTCACAGTAACTGCTATCATATGAAGTAAAGCTATCAGTTATTACAGTTAATTTGTTATTACAGATATTGATTTACTTGATGTTAGAATGTTCGTTAAATCCTATAATTGAGAGTGGTAGGCCGGATGAAAAGTGTCAAATCCCATAGAGCTCCGAAGTAAATTTATGATTTGCTTTGTCTGGTAACTGTAATGCTTTGAAGTTTTTCTCTTTGTATTTATTCAACATATATTTGAATTTTCCCCTTGACAGAATCTAATATGTTCTCGATGAATGAACAAAGGCATGTTTTTCTTCCGGCAGCGAATCATCTCAACACAGATGCACATGTGATGCACCGCTGCTATGATATACATCAATCATCAAGGAATTACCAGTTAATTCACACAAATATAAAGATATTATGTGTGTCTGTGTTTTTTTCTATTTACGTGATGAGTAACTATTTAGTTTTTAGTAAAATGCAACGAGCGGTTCGTACTTTGGCCTTTCTCTATTTTTGGTTATTATTTTAAATCAGCCAAGGCTGATTTGAATATCAATGATCAAATTGATATTAACATATGAATAAAGACGCAGCTACGTACACAGAAGAGTTGTATCTATGTGTCTCGGAGCTGCTCGGACAACTCTAAATTCTATGTAGAATAACTACTATCCACAATCTACGAATCGAATGACATTGTAAGAGTAGCGAACATAACAATAATATACGTTTTCCAAACCCAAGCTAACAAGACAGACAAAGAGAACAATATATCTAATACAGTCTGACGTGTTGTCATGACAACCACAAATTAGTGCAACTCACAGTGAATATGTTATATAAGCTTGAATTGAAACGCTACACAAAATGAAAAATAAATGTTATTTCATCTTTTTTTATATTTGATATATCAGGTTACCTTACTCAGTTCGAAAAAAAATCAATCACTATAATACAGTCTGTTTTGTCTGTTTACTACTGTTTCCTATGACAAGACTATATTTCAAAATTAGTTCTGTGGCATACAGTAAAAAATATATATTATTTTTACACAGGCTACTTTGTGGTGTCTGGAAGTATTATTCATTCAAGGATATTTCTAGATCTTTTTTGATCTAGGAAACCGCTTCCAAAATAGCATTTCATCCGTATAGTTTTACAGTCTTTGCCGTACTGTTGTAGACAGATTGTGACACAATATTGCTACTGCTGTATGCGCTAAAACATGCGCAAATGTCACACCAATCACGCGTGGATTTATAAATTAAAACGAGATTTTGATGCAAAAAAAAACGAACACAAAAAAATTGGAGCAAATAAAGGAACATAGGGGTCGGACAGATTAAACAACATTCAGTCTAATAAATACATGTATAAATACGATGATTTACAATCAGATAGATGTTGCGCGTGGTTAGAATCTTTGTTGAATAGTACATTCAAACAATGTTAGATCGGTTTAGTGTAAATAAATTAGGGTAGCCGATATCCAGCGCCATAGATAAATGGGACAGTCTGATAGCTATGTTGGCTGGTCAAATCGTTGTTTCATTCTGTCTTGGTCAAAATATCAGAATGAACACTCTAGATAAGATATACAAAAAAAAACCCGCAATAGGACTATAAATCGTAGACACCCTGAAGACTTGGTTTCTTGTTTTGATTAATTGTTATTTTAAATTAAATCCATTAATAAACAAAAGTCGTGGAGAGTGCTTTTACGCAATTCAAATAACGTTGATTGTAATCTGTTTGTGTGAATATATGTAAATTATAATGATAATATTACACACCCATGAATTATCGGATAATTTGCAAATCAGTGTAATACAAGGGAATGATCGTATGGCCATACTACGAAATTCGAAGGCAAAGTTAACGGAATTAAGAATGTGATATACCCGAATATAAAAAATAAAAAATATTTTATATTTAAGGCCAACATGCGCAAAATATTGTGAGTAAACCCTGAAAATGTATTACATTGTTAGTTTACACATAGATGGAATATGGAAACGATTATATATTGTAGTACATACATTCGTTATGCTCAGTAATTATCTCCCGTCCACAGCGAAATACCCGTACTGTATATCTATACAACTACTGATCATGAATAACACCTACAGTGATTTGGCATATTCATGTCGGTCATGTACTAAAATGATACACAGTTGCACTGTACTTGGTAATTGTATCGAATCACTTCTACTTGAATTATTGAACACGTGTTGCAAATGGCTAAATAATTTGCCCTATTCAAAAGTATCATTAAACATGCATAGACAATGAACCAGCAAATGGACACTTCCCTTGAGTTCGCATGCCAATGAAGATCGCGGTAATTCACTTAAGTAGCGCAAGACTACTGATTGGTTTTTCAAAAGCTTTCTTTTCTGAATTACTACAGCGATTACTTTTTAAACTATCTAAACGTAATTGGGATGTCGAAACAAATTGCTATATGTCTTCTACTCTACCCTATCCTAAGCTTTACAGTATTGAGTAAACCATTAGCAAAAATCATGTGAAGAAATGTATACCCCTTTACTACATGGAATGTATAATCCTAACTTTTATCAAAAATTTGTGGGCTATAACCTAAAATAAGGCGATAAGGTGAAAAAACACAAAATCTTCCGAAAGGTTTTAATGACATATTTCTCATATATATGCAGAAGAAAAAAGATGTACGTTTTGTTATATTTAAAGATAAGTGTACTCACAATAAGTATATTTAAATCCCTTGTCATTCTAGACCTATTACGCTAGATTAAGTATTACATTTATTCACGGCCAATATTTTCACCGACTTCAACTTACAATAAATAACTATTTAAACAGCATTGCACATATTCAACAAGATTATTCACTTCTCCATACAATTTTCTATTCTCAACTTCTAATGAACTAGATAACTAAATTTTGGAATGTATTACCACAGTTTTTGGAATGTTTATCAAATCGGACTGTATTAAAAAGTCTGAAACAAAATAAATGTACACTTGTATAATCTTT